GGTGAGAGGTGCAGCCACGCTCGCCAATTACAAGCCCAGGAAGATCTCCTTCCATCATTCCGATTACACCAATTATTGCATCTCAAAAAGTGATGAAGGACAACTGCTCACCAACTCTTCATTTTCTACACGGAGCTCTTCGAGAGCCACGTCTACCTACCTACCTACCTACCTAACATTTTAGGCAGACGAATAGACCGTTCCTATGGTTCTCTCTTCCGGGATTCGACATGTCATCACGTCGGTGAAGTATTATACGGCGCCAAATCTAAAGAGTCATCCACCAGTTGTAGTAAAAACTCTGACTAGGCCCTTCATGCGGTACCTGTCGGAATGCAAAGTGTCCACATCGTGGAATACTAGCGAGACTGTGCTTTTGCATATGTAGGGAGATCCCGAGGATAATGGCAACTAACGCCCAATCTGCCTGATCTACAAACTTCTCACGAGTCATCCTGATTAGGATTAGTAGAATATTGGATGAAGCACACCCATGCGGGATTTCGGGGAGGGTTCAACGCAAACGATCATATCCACACTCTTACAAGTCTTATAGGATTATCGCGAGAATACAAAGTGCCTTTATGTCTTACGTTTGTTGTTCAACGGTTTGAAGAAGGCCTTTAATACTGCCGAGACAGAAGCGGTAATTGATGCCCAAGCGACCAGAGTGTTCCTACTCGGTACATAGGGGTGGTTCTTGAGCTCTACAAAAATTTCACGACCAGGATTCCAACACTCTACAAGGAAGTCATTATCAGGGTGATGAGAGAGGTGCGGCGGGGCGATACATCAAACTTTCCAGTGCGCTCTCGAAAACACCATGCGTCATTTGTGATGGGAAGATTCAGGAGTGAAGCTCGACGGCCACTCTATACACCACCTCCGCTTTGTAGACAACATCGCGCTTATAACATCTAACATCGAGCACGAGGAACAAGCTCGCCGAACTTGGCAGTGCTCGTGGATAGGTCGGCTTTCTAGCAGTTTGACAAGGACCATGTCCACGAGAGACGATCGGTATCCCAGCTCCTTTCATGCTGCCCGGAACGAGTGCCACTGAATGCTCTAGATAGGTTCATCAAGTTTGAGAGCTCACCATGCCTAATGTCCTAGTTTCAGAGCTGTACAGAAGGAAACGCTGGGCATGGTAGCATTCGAGATTATCGAGGCAGTAGTGTAGAAGTCTGAGGACACCCCGTTCAGCGCTCTTCCTCCGACACAGAGGTCCCTCCTTCTTCAACAGATGCCAGCTTCAGGTGAGCAATATGAGCACAAAGTCAGCTTTATTCAACGCGCTTACGTAATGGCGACCCTCGGAGTGAGGAAGAAATCCAAACTTCCGAGTTTCCTTGAAGTTACCAACATCACAAACGCTGTTGCTTATGCCAAGAAATCGAATATCAGGTAGGCCGGACACGTCATGCGATACTGTGACGTCATTGGACTAAGACGGTTACTGACTGGTTCCCTTGGGACGTCAAACAAACACCAGCATACCCGCCAGCGCGATGGTTGGACTCCTTCTCGAAAGCTATGAACGAAAGGAACGTTATGCCCTGTGACCATCGAGAGAGGACGATTCAACCAGCTTACTCTGGCTTGTGACAGGGACAATGTATGTAGGCAATACTGAAGCCCCTTCGAGGCAATCGAAATCACACGACGATAGGTGAGAGGTGAACAGGTAAACGTCGAAATCGAATAACCGCAACCTTCTTCGTCTTATGGAATATATTCATGACGTAGATTTCTCACCCGATGAAGCTAACACCGAGAAGTTTGTTTCATCAATAATTTCACCATTAATTGGCCCTCATTCATAAAACAGCGGCAATAAATTAGGAGCTGAGCCATGTGGTTACTATTGCATGTCTTTTTCTGGGTTGAAGGTGACAAAAGATCCAATCTTTTCCGCGCTCCCACAAGTGGCAAGGTAGAAAGCGCATGTTTCGAGGTTTCGTCGATTTTCATTGCATCGACTATGTGATTGTAATCAAGACCATCCCAGGCTTTGCGACGAAGCTATTCCCTACAAAGAGTCCTGATACTCCCATTTTAGCTTTCTCTTCTTCGGAAAAATTGTTTCATCGGTGGGATGGCAATCCCCTTCCCATTTTTATGCTTCTTTTCAGTAAAAGTGGGGGGTGCAAGAAAAACAGGCACTCTTTCATGGCTCATAATATAACCCAGAAAGACCAGGGCAGCTTTATTTTACTTCAGTATAGCCCGAGAATAAGTTTGTGGTAGGCCAGTTCATGAATAGGGGTTAGGGGCATTGAAGATTAAAGACACATCGAATAATATTATAGCTGATTATCAGTCAAAATTTCGGATTATCAGTTTCCTTCAACGCTCTGTGCATTACTGCATTCGAGCTCAGTCATCTAGGCGTGTCTTCGCTACTTTGGTATTCCTTGATCAGTTTCATCTCAAAAAAAGACAGAACAGAAAAGGAACGATCGTGATCGCGGCGGTCCGACTTTTTCTAAGGCACTATCGAGAAGCATTCGGTTCTTATGTACCTGTGCGATAATCTCTGCATGACTGTCAAATTCAAGCGAGACAGCATTGGGTCACTCCAGGACGGCTTCTTGCTACGACACGCGCTTTTCGTTGTTGCAAAATGTTGCGTATAGTTGAATAGATAGCAAAATAAGTATGCTCGCCAAATCCAACCGACCCTTCCATGTCGTTGCAGTCGGTTGACTAGTTTCAACGTTGTGTCTGAAAACGCGATTGATAAACTTTAAAATGATCTATCCCAGCCCCACACAAGCCTTTTTCACCCCTGAACGAATTTGATACTGGACTCGGGAAGACCGTCGATCTACATATTGCTCTGTTTAAACAATTACGCAAATAGATTTCCGTTGGCAATAGAAGATTCGCCTTGGTCGAAGATCACTCCAACTGTGAAAATTTTCATTTGACAGCATTTCAAGGGGATCCGCACAGGGTTCCAACACCAAAGCACGTCTAGCTCGGGTATTTTGTCAATGCTGCAAAATGATAAGCAAGTGCAGCGAATGCCCTTCGAAAATGGAGTACTATGGTTATTATAATCTAAAGAAAGCATCGTCAGGTCATCTTTTTGAGGTGGGCACGTGCAAATTCTTTTGTTTGTAATGCAGAGTATTCAGTCTAGCGGTCTGTGAATAAGCTTAGACCTTCGAACAACTGTTGAGCTAGAGATAGGACCGAGAGATTTGCTCGATAGGTGGAGAAACGTAATTCGCTTACTTCTTTTGAACATTTTTGAAGTTCAAATACCAAATATCATTTTTCGATTGCTGATATGAGAAACTCAAAATCGCCATATCAGAACTCGTTGAACAGTGCAATATTATACTGAGAGACGGGGAAGCATACGCGAGCTTACTATTTACTTGGAAAGTTTTAAGCGCTGACTTCTACATCTCAGCTGGCAATGTCAGTTTAGAATATAGAACACATACGCATTCAAAACGCTAGTAAGATTCTCAATGGGGAGTCAAATGCAAGTTTGCATTCCAATACGGAAATGAAAGGAGCCACTACAGAAAGTTCGCTCGAACCAATTTGCAAAGACATTACATAGGGCTTAATATTCGTTGCAGAGCATAATTTGGAGTGAACCCTATGTTTCAGGCAGTTGCATGTTCTCTGTGAGAGCTGGGAATTTTTCTTAGACCCACCATATAGCGGATAAAAACCGAGTTAAGCTGAAAAATGTCGCTCGTTGTCGCATGTCTCGGACCTTATGTTCTCTTCCGTAGGAAAAAAATCACATCCCCACGAACCGTGGCTAAATTCGCCCAGCAAAGAAGATATTGGCTACACTGAGAGGATCGAAACGTTTACTACAAGTGCTCCTCATTATCTTCATTGCCCATTATAAGCGAGTCTCACTCTATTGAATGTGAGTCAAACTGTATGGGGTACAACTTTTTTTGCATGATACCTTCTGAAGAATATACCAGTGGCGAAACAACGTCAAAACGACAGATTGATTTGCTTTAAGGCTTCAAAGTGACGACGAATACTACCAGTGATAGCAATCAATCAATCCGCCCGCCTGGCTGATAAAATGTTACATGCCATTTGACGTGATACTCAAAAACACCGTATGGGAGCCGTTTAAGGTTACAAAAACCGAATTCCTTAATGCTTGACTACGACCATAAATGTCTTCGCGCTCACCATTCCCAGATAAAACGGACCGAAGCAAAATTTGTGAAATCTCAGAAAAACCATCCCTTGTAGTCTAGAATTCAAATCCGTAAGGCATTTACAGTACGTTGTCGCAGCACTACTCAACTATCATTCAAATCGCGACTGATAGACCAATTTTTTCGCAGCCGCGCGTCACCTTTCGTATGGAGATGCAGTACTTTGAAGGAGTCAGTTCTACATTGGCAGATGAACTGGCATATGGAAATGCCAATTCGCCTGCCATTGAAAATTACCCCTCTAAAGTACTGCACCTTTAACAGCAAGATTTATGATAAAAATGATTCCCGAGATATCCCCCAGGATGGATCCGTGGCCCCAAATATGCCTTACGTAGCACCGTCAGAAGTTAGGCTCGAAAATCGTATCCATAGTGGCCATCTAGAGGTGCTGACAGTTGTCTATGTATTTACCCTTCCGTGCCACCTATGTCGTCATAATCTCACACAACCCCTATAACCCCCTCCCCCTGCCACTTTCTTAAGGCACTTTTTATCAAAGTTGTTAGCGATCTTCGCGTTTTTTTTCTCCCCAGCTTTGCACTATTCTGAATCATAACTTCCACTGCTTTGCATAATTTAGGTATCTCGAAAATATCATACATCTTCCATCTTAATTATGAAAAAACTCTTCAAACTAAAACCACATTGAGCGATTTCACTTCACGTTGATGACCCATCTGAGTATTATTCCGTACTTCTCTTATCAATGCCAAAACTAATCAGCTTGTGAACATTTACTTACACTGTATATAAATCGATGCTGATGCGTCACAATGTTCCTGAACTATGGTGAGTTACCTCCTCGAACTTTCTTGTCTACAAACAAGCAATCTAGACACTATGTTTCAGAAGTACTTAGCGCTTCTACTCTGCCTCTATCTATGTCGGACATTCGGAGCAGACACAGATGGTCAGTGCCACAGTTGATTTTCTTGGCGAATCATACCTGATGGTCCTTTTTTTACAGCTGCCGACGAAATTCCACCGGAGGCACAAGTGTTGAGCGGTGCACCATTGGTAGAATACTTGCGAAAAAGCCAGAATCTTTTTGAGGTAATCCATCTTTCACTGAGTATATGAGTCAAAATTCTGCAGACAAAGACTTTTGATTACAGGTGAAAGAGACACCTACACCTGGTTTCAAGTACATGATGATGGATATGAAATTCAAGGACCAGACTTCAAATCCCGTTGTTAAGGATGACAATGACGCAGGCGACGACATACCAGAAAAGTAAGTCAGCTGCCAAATATTAGAAGTCTCTAGACAAGCTGAATTGCAGATACACTGATCCTACATGAGTATTGGTACTGCTTAAGCACATTCCTAACCGAAAAAGTAGACTTTCATTTCTGTTGTGGTGAATTTATGAAAGTAGGAAAACAAAAAGGTAAAAGAGAGAAGAAGACAAGAGGCCTGGCAGAACTGGAATTGATTGAAGTGACACGCAGCGGTGAAAAATGAAGGAGACGAAGTGTCGCTATTGAACCATGGAGGGTCAAACATGGACTCGAAAAGAATTGGTCACGATCGCGACACTCCCGATTCCCCTTCCTCGAGCCCTTCATGCTGATTCGAGGAAGAGGTGTTGAAACTCGTGGCCCCGTTACATTACTGTACCTTCTGGACTTCTGCCGGAAAAATGCAAGCCATCCTTCTCTTGGAAGTTATGATTTTTTNTTTTTTCGCAAAAAAGTACTATCAAAACACCAAAGGAATGTTTTCAAATTTCGTGATTCTCACTTTTTAAAAGACTTATTGAACTTTTGCCGAGACTTATTGAACAGCAAACATCTCGAAAACTTTTTGCTTCTAAATAAGGAAATTACGATAACTGCGTTAGATACTACGAAACATGTGTTAAGTATTTCTTTTCTGTTCTTATCCATTGTCATGTGTAACACAACAAACCTTTCTCTGTAACGAGCTTCAACTATGACGCCACTTGCAACCCACATTTCGCTAGCCCACCGAATCCGTTAATTCGGTTTCATACTTGGAAAGTAGGAAAACAATGATAGGTTAACTTTCTGCAAGAGGTCCACAATCCAAATTATGGGTCAAGGATCATCTTTCCAGTCAGATGTTCTTTTTCTCAGTGACGTTGCAGAAAACCACGTGACAATATGAACCCTATGGCATCTTTCATAGTCCACGACCGATCGCGCGACCGGTCGCCGGTCGCTCGTGAGATGGGTCCGCGACCAGTCGCGCGACCGGTCGTGGACTATGAAAGATGCCTATGTCATCACTGTTTTGAAACTCAAGGGCTAGCTAATTTTCTGACTGTCAACACTGACATTGTTGGTATGCCACAGAGCTGATTCTGGGAATGCTTTCATGCCTTCCTCCAACAGCCGAATTCTACATAATCTGTACTCTTTCAAAGAATCAGCAACATTCGCTTGACTCGTCTCGTAGCAGAAGAATACAATTCGAATTTCAGCTATGATCCTCGCATTACTTGGGCCAACTGCTCTTCGTTCTTCACCATCCGTGACCAAGCAAACTGTGGTGAGTAGTTTTTGTTGAATCGAAGATGTTAGAAACGGCATGGATAGAATCGCAATCATACTTGTTCAGGCTCATGCTGGGCTGTGGCAACGGCATCTGCAATTTCAGATCGCATTTGCATCGCTTCCAAAGGCAAAAAGCAGGTGTGATGCGATCCACTGTACTTCAAATCGCATTTAGTTCGAACAAAGGTATTTCAGGTATATGTTTCTGCTACTGACATTCTGTCGTGTTGCAGAAAATGCGGTTCAGGGTACGATCTTAAAATTAAGCATGACATTCTCGAATTCTACCAATACCACTAAGCTTTTCCTCCAAACGCTGTTCGCTGATTCAGATGTAAAGGAGGCTTTCCTATTAAAGCTTGGCAGTTCTTTGAAAGCGATGGAGTGGTTTCCGGAGGACCTTACCTAGATAAGGTGGAGCCTTACATAGCTCTTGATTTTGGGGCACATATCAACCTGTAGTAAATTTGCCGACAGAAGTGTTGCCGTTCTTACCAACTTCATCCATGCGGACATCATGGAAACCATACTTACTACGGAGATTGCCCAGAAATGGCAACAACTCCACCATGCAAGTGGAGATGCCAGTTTGGTTACAGGAGAAGGTACTGGTTGGACAAGCGACATGGTGAGTAAGAACCTTTACACGCAGTCCTTCCCATCGATGTAGGATACGATGATACCTTAAGTTAGAAATGAAAAAAGTAAATAGATGGAAATGAGCAGAGAGACAAAAATATTCAACTTCTCTCGCGATCAATATCGAAACTTGTAGTGGGCCACGTGCTGTTCCAGTACGACCAGTAGTGAGTACAACGTTACGAAACTAGCTGTACGAGTTACTGTCCAAAAAAAAAAACGCTCAGCGGTGAGGTCTCACAACTCTATGCCACCATTTTTGTCTGATCCCCACGCGTACCGTGCAGTAGAAGCGATAAATGTGATAATTGTTTGAGATTAGATCCTATTGAATCATGAGGGAAACACTTGGGGGGACATTACAAACCTGTTCAACGTACAGTACATTATGGAATGGTTCATTTGTTTCGGCTCAAACAGAACTAGATATAAAATTAATTCAACCTTCCATTTGATAACTCAGTCAACAGCAATGTGTATTTACAGCTTACGTAATCAGTGCACACTAGCAAACTGATTGCGACTTTGACATTTGAACTCAGACGAATGTTTTTGAAATTTACGCATATTCTTTTTAAGGCATGCCTGGCAAGGCTTACAGATTACCCAATTCGGTGAAAGAAATCCAGAGAGATATTCTGAAGTATGGTTCGGTTGTCGGCGGGATGAGTATCTATGGGGACCTTAATCACTATAAATCAGGAATATATCAGGTAAGACTAGCGTTATCATTTGAAGCTGTCATTGTAATATGGTGTAAAATTATATAGGATTGAGCTTTATACCGTTTCGAGTGCTCTCGACACTAACAAAATATTGGGCGAGACTCAAACATATCTATACAATCTATGTATGTATGCCGATATAAGGAACACGAGTATCTGTAACTTCTGCTTTATAGCACAGAGGTGGTTTACCAGGTGGCTACCATGCAGTGAAAATAATGGGATGGGGAAAAGAAAATGGTACGGACTATTGGCTCATTGCTAACTCTTGGAACGACGACTGGGGTGAGAAAGGTCAGTGTCAATTACTATGGAGACAAAAGCATTGGTAAAATCGCATTTTGATTGATTACTTTCGCTCTGATATCTTTGACATATCGCCCGGCTGTTACTCTAGCGCTGACAGATGTAACAATATCGTATACTTCTTTACTGGGTCGTACATAGGAAAGCTAGAAAAGCATTCCGTCTATTCCCCGTTTTTTCGAACACTTTGTTTTCTNTTCTCCACTCATCCTCATTGAAGGCACAGCTTGAGAAAAAAAATCATTTATGAGATTCACAACTATTACGAACCTTTAGTCCCAATTATGCCGTACGGATATGCTGGGTCGAAAAGCGATCCAGATAAGGCGCAATAAGAGATCAAAGACAGACTTGGAAGACGTCCACATCCAAAGCGGACGAGATTCAAAGACGTTACGTACACTGCATCATTCGCAAAGAAATCCAAGCAACAGGTCGTAACTCACGGCAACTGTGGAAAGCGGGAATTTTTTGCTTTGCTTCATGTAGCCAGCTCTTTAGAAAATTGCCCTAACCAAAATCCTGTCCAGATATCCTCTCAGTGACATTTCCATCATTTTAATCTCGTACAACCTGTTCTCGCCAGTTTTAGGAATCCGTAGACTTCACAAGGTCTACAAATCTTCCTCAGCCGCCCTGGCGTTGAATCCCATCCAATTTAAAAAGACTTTCGAAATTATCGCACCTTCTCATTCTTGAGCGACATCCATCAAAAGCCTTCTTTATGATTTTCAATGATTTGAATATGATCTAGAGCCTGTTCTCAAATGTGCGAGAACTACAAATAGATGTGTGTTTTCCGCATAAATAAAAAAAAAATTTATAGGATTCTTCCGCATGCTACGCGGGACAAACCACTGTGGAATCGAAGAAAATGTGATCGGAGGATTTGTCGACTCAGACTCTCCCTAAAATTGTACAGTGTGAACTAAATAACCCAATTCGAAACGATCATTTTATGCACCATGCGAAAATAAAGCTTTTTGGTAGCTCTTCCCTATAAAAAGACCTGCATTAAGATATACGTCTGGAAGAAAGCACAGGAAATCTAAGCACTATTGGGTTCCCCTCACTCAATTATTACCGCTGTCGTCAAGGTTCTCACAAGTCGAATCCCAAAATGACGCTTGGAACAAAATTGTGCTCTACTGCTGAATCTGTCGAGGATGTGGTTATATTGAGGTGTCCGAAAGGTTTTGAGAAAATTTTGCCTATCAACTTTGAAAGCATGTTGCTCGCAAGCGCGCTAAAGAAGGACTACTGATTCGATAACAGGGAATGGAGCATGTTGATAGTTCAGTACTATAACTAGTCGGTATTGGACGTAGTCGTTCGAAGTAAATAATCGTAGACCGAACGTTGCGCTATCGATACGACTACAGGAACCTTCTGCTCCTCCATTACGAAACTAATTGCTTCGACACTTAGGCGTGGAATGAGATATGATGACTGATTGGCAGCAATGACCTTCTTGTCCCTACCATATGCAGGATCGCTTCCTCTCAGGAGGGATTTGCCTCGACGAAGTTTACCGAAGCGAACATCCACTGTCCTCAAATACTGCCACTGTTCTGGCCTCTTGTCAGAGCGATCCTGCTCATCGTCTCAGGAGATGAAATAGATGACGTCTATTCTCTATTCCATCATTCATGACGTTCTACGCAAAGTCGCTTTCACTTCCATCATTCATGACGTTCTACGCAAAGTCGCTTTCACAGCAGGACTCCTTGCAGTTATCACCCATTCCTTGGCTGAGCAGCAGCTCGAGTGCGAGATAATGTGTAAAAGAAGCTCCGCTACTTTAAGCAAACGACGACATCAACCGACTTCATTATTGCTCAGGATAAAAAGTCGATGTCATAAGAAAATCCACATAGGAAATCGCAATGCTACCAACGACGTAAGGTAACAGCCCGCTATGAAGCGAGGAGCTCACGTCAAAGAAGACATAGGCTTACTGTTCATCTGCTCAGCCGGTTGTTTTACTGGGAGATCCTGTCAGAGTGTACTGCAATAAGCGCAAGAGCATTCCCTTACCGGCTGAGAGAGATGGTGTTTCGACCACCCATTTCACACCGGTTACAGGGAAATTTCTGATTGTGGTGGATAATGTTCGGCCGTCCCGGGCAAGGGCGTCGATGGATGAGCTGGAAAGACATGGCGTAACCTGACTATCCCACTGCCCACATATTCTCCTGACCTCAACCTATTGGGCTGCAATATTTCCAGGAACCCATGGGTCTGCTCTACAGGGAAAAAATTCACCAACTGTCGAGAAGTCAAGAAGGTGGTAGATGAATTGCGTTACTCCTCTTTCCATGCTGGAGGACTGCCTGCTCGGTTGATGGATTGTGGCTAAGAAGGGCCACTATCGTGATCACTGATCTAAGTTTGTTGCTGTAGGTATTTTTGTTGAAAAAACCGACTGAATTTTACAGAATTTTTCGGACATGCGGATAATAGGAAAGTTTCCTATTAGAAACTATCAGTAGATTCAAGGAAGTGAAATTCTTTTAAAGATTGAGAGCACATTTGAGACACTGCAAAGGATATGGTTCACAGCTATAATGACAGAAAATTGCGAAGATGTGTTGTCTTTGGTTCCTTGTATACGAACTTCAGTAACAGTCCAAATAGTCATAGCACTTCTTAATGCAGAGCAACAACCAATAGCTTGGCTTACATTTATTGACGAACGACGTCACGGAATCTATCACACTTTTCAACCACGAATCAGTATACATGATGATTTTGCAGCAAATCTCCAGTAATGTTTCCAGTACCCAGACATACACTTTCAAAAGTTCTTACTATAAAAGACAGAACCCACTGACTCTAACGCTACCGCACCGCCAAAAATGCTTTTTAATCAGTGCCCAGACCAGATTTCCAAACTTATCAAAATGTAGCGTGCTGATATATGTATATATAATAGCGCTCAAAAGTCCTCTACCGAACGCTTGTGAGCCGTAACTTTTTTTTGTAGCGAAGCGAATCGCGCGAAATTTTAATATATTCGCTGCAATTTAACTATATATTTATAGAGCACTCTGTCCGTCTGTCTGTCCGTCTGTCTGTCCGTCTGCCTGTCTGTCCGTCTGTCTGTCTGTCCGTCTGTCTGTCTGTCCGTCTGTCTGTCCGTCTGTCTGCCTGTCTGTCTGTATGCCTGTCTGTCTGTCTGTCTGTCTGTCTGTCTGTCGTCTGTCTTTCGATATAACCTGAAGAAGCACCTGGGGAAGTCGGGTCAAGTGTATAATGGGTTGAGCATAGGGTAAGTGCAACAGAGCACATGTGAGCCTAGCGGAGCTCTGCCCACAAGGGTTGGGGCATGCGCCGAAATTGGGCGCAAGAGCGAGTTCTTCCAGTTCGGTCTCATAACAGTCCAGACGCCGGAAAAAATTTGCAAAGGTAAGGGATAGGTCAACCATTAAAATGAGGGAAGGCCCCGCCTACGGTGGGCGAGGCATGCGTTGAGGTGAAAGCTAAAAAATGAATGTAACTTTGTTCAGAAACGTTGTAGAACGCGGGGAAAAGTGGTTTAAGGTAATGGAACAAGTGTGGTCAAATCTTCGAAGTGGGCGGATTGGCGCTGAAGTGGGCGGGGATTAGATCAAAATTTCATAACTCTGTTCAGAAACGTTCTAGACATGGGAAAGTGCTTAGAAGTACTGCAACAAATGTGATTAAGTCCTCGAAGTGGAGCTGGCACAGGAAAGCGGGGCTAGGGCTAATACCAGACATTCATCTCTCTGAAGATTTTCCAAAAAGTGGATAAAATGATTTGGAACAGTCAAATGAAGGGTGGTCGAGTTCATTGTTGGCAGTGTCTGCACTGAGGAAGACGAAGATACGATCAACCACAAAACATTCTGCTCAAATGAAATATATCGGGCGTGATGCTCTCAGCAGTTCAACGTTCAAATCTAGAGAGAACTATCTTATTCTGGTTATCCAACATTCAGCTGGATGACTCCGTCGTAGATAAGCGGACGTCGACATATAATGTACTAGTCAGGAAGGTATTTATTGTGGTAGTAGACTTCCCTGAAAGCAAGCTTGGCGACAATTGCAATTATTCAGACCTTTTGTGCGTTTTTCTCCTCCGGTGTTTTCTGCACTAGCGCACACTTCACGATATGGCCAAAAAGTGCACATAAGATGCGAACAATCGCGAATAAACAAAGTGCGAATAATTGCGGAAGTCGCCAAGCTTGCTTTCAATGAAGTACTTCCGCAGCAAACACAGTCGGTTTTGGTTTGAATATGACATAAAGATTATCATTATTGTCATTGCTAGTAGGACCATCGTCATATTTCTCGTAAATGTCCAAGCTCTTTGGAATATGTGGAACATGATCAGGCTGCATGTTTACAGTGGTAAATATTAGCAATACACCCATGCTATACATATTGAGAGTCGCGTGATTAGATACGGGAACGGGGTTACACTGAAAAGTACGACTGAGAGAGCATTTAGCCGCTTGACGGTTTCTGAGCGCTACTGTACATACATACATACATACATACATACATACATACATACATACATACATACATACATACATACATACATACATACATACATACATACATAAATACATACATACATACATACATACATACATACATACATACATACATACATACATACATACATATATATATAGCAGTGGGCAACGCACCCTAACCCTTGCGACACATGTCCACAACCAGGTGAAGTGGTAGAGTGCATTCTATATTTTGCTTGAATTTAATGGAAAAATGAGCAATAGAAATGTAACAGGATGGAAAATAATCATCATGTTGTTTGATGATTCCTGATGTTAAATGTTGCCGATGCAGAGGCGCGCTCCCTACCTCTCCTTTTTAGTCGCACCTCGACGGAAAAGAGTCGAGTACGATTCGTTGTGTGACAAAAAAGAGAACAACCATTTCCAGTAAATAACTTCGCAGTACAGTCAGTTTTGGTTCAAATATGATAAAAGATCATTAAATTCACTGTTATTATTACCTTACTATTAATATTATTACATTATTTCATATACACTCCTCAGGCGCTTACGTGACTGACACACAAAGCGACATACAAACAGACACACAAAAATAGCGCTCTATATTGTACACAGGAATACCTCTGAAAGTTCTCTCCCCCTTAAAGATCTTTACCGTGGTGATGAGGCTACATGGCACATCCCCATGTGGTGGATAGGGGACTTTTACCGGTACTTGCAGAGACACAGGCGGATTCAGAAAATGGGCTCCTGTTTGGTTGAGCGAGGTTGTTTTATAACTTTTGTACCCTCCGTGTATCCATACACACGTGTGTGGAGCGTCTGCGGGTGCGGTTGGTAACCTGCACATCGGCTCAGTCATAAGCTTACGTTCGAGTGACTGGGGAACACTTGAGAGATGTGCGGGTCGCCCGCAATAAATAAGTCTTTTGACCGTCGTGGGATAGCCTGGCTAACTAATCAGAGTTAACGCAGCCCTCATGTCAAAGACTGGGAAGCTACTTTTGGGTATCCATATACAAAAAACCAGCATATGGTTGCTTTTATAATCCGCCGGCTGGCCGGCGAGCGAGCGCGAGGACGGTCCCGAGCAGATCATCGGGTTCTGGTCTGTGCCTGCGTCGCGTGCGGTCGCTCATTACTAGCCCTAACTGTTTCCACTGCTTGTTATTCAGTGCGTTGTTCATTCTACTTTACTCTAACCTGCTCCAGCAACATTTGGTGAGCACCCCAGTGGCAGGGTGTGTTCGAAAATCGACGTACTTGCCACCTGCCATTTTCCTTAAGTTTTGGTTTCGTTCATTGCGGTCGGGTGCCATCGATCGCGCTATTGACTATTGATATCACGTTTGATCTCTGAACCGCCTTGTGGCCGGGTGGTTAACTTTGGATTTCCTTCTG